TAATAGTTTAATAATTAAAAAGTTTAATAATTTAACTTTGATCTGGAGAATGTTTATCAATACAATGACAATGGAGCAGCTGCATTTGGGAAATCAATGTTTTCCAGGCTGCTTTTGTTCCCAGTTGGACCAAAGAGTCCCAACCCCTTGAACCTGTGGCACAGAATAGTTTGGATCAGTGCAGTGTTCTGGAGCAAAGCGTCCAGCACCAGACCTCCAGGGTTGGTAAAGGTGCTTTCACTCTCTGTTTCCAGGGACAGTGAGTCAGGCTACTACCGGGTGTTGTCCCATTACTACCCTGAGGACTCAGAGAAGCTGCCGGTGAGAGCCAGCAGCTTGGTCTTTGTGCTGACAAGAGGAGGGGATGGCTGGGCTACAGCCATACATGATGGACAGGTAAGGACAGTGCGTGGGCTTTCCAGCCCATCCCTACCAGCAGAGACCACAGCCCTGCCTGTGGACAGGAGCTTGCTGCAACCCTCTGAGCATGTTCCCTGGGGACCCTGTATCTCTGCAGAGGATGAGTTCAGGAGCTCATTTCCACAGACCAGTTGCTAACTGTAGATTTCTCTGTCCCTTGGCTCCCATCAGCTGCTGCCATTCAACTCTTTAGCTCCACATGGGCATTTTTTGGGGCAGCTGTGCTTTCCACTATACAAGATCCTGTAGGATAACAGACCTCACCAAGGACCACCACTTAGAGCAGTATTTGTCACCTGAGAACTCTACCAGAGCTGAGGAGACAGGCTGATCCTTACTTGCTGTGTAGTTTTTCTGTTACATTAACCATGGGAAGGTTTTGGGAGGGTTTCAGCTGTACAGACAGGTTTTATAAAGGGCTCTAGAGAAGACCTAAGGAGTTAAAGCTGGCAGTCAAATGATTGGCATAGCCTAAAGCAGCTGGAGCTGACAGTGAGCAGTTACAGAACTGTCTGAATGTGCTGGTTGAAGCTCAGTGAAGTGTCAGATGAAACTCAAAGTCAAAAAAAGGTAAAATAATAGACAATGGGGAAACAAAAAGCATAACTACAATGATCAGTAGAAATTGGGAGCTTTGTAGTAGTGATTGTCAGAAGACACAGAGATTCTGCTGTACTGGTATCCCTCAATATCCTTGATGTTCTCTGCCCAGGCATCCGTTTCCAGAGCAGGGTGTTTGGCTTGTTACATCCCAGCCACTCTGGCAGCAGCATTGCTTTCAACAGAAAAACATGCAAAAGAACTGTGGGATTAATGTCAGCAATTTCTGAGCATGAGCCCCATGGGCTACTGTATGAGACCCTGGGCTCCCATGGGCACACCCGTGTTGCTGCAGGCAGGGGTGGTTTGCAAGGGCAGCAGCAGTGCAGAGTGGGGCTAACAGAAGCTTGGGGCTGGGTGGGTTGGGGCTGAGTCTGCCAGAGCAGCAGCTCCTGTCTCACCCTGCTCTGCTTTGTGTCCTGCAGAAGCTGCGCATTCCCAGCTCTCTCCTGGAGCCTGCCTCAAAGATGGATAAATGGGTGAGCTGACAGCCCTGCAAGCAGCGGGGGGGAAGGGACCAAGAAGTACATCTGGAACACTTATGTGTAAGATTATCACAAGATAGGACAACTGTGTAAGAGACACATGGAGTGTGAAGTACTGAGACACACCTTGACTGTACCACCAGCTGATCTAGGTGGTGGTATGTCTAACCCACCATGGGCTGATGTAGCACACAAAGATGAGCCTGTGCCACAGCCCTCCCTCCTGACCACTGTAACTTGTTGAGCCACTGGAACCCAATATTGAGTTTGAGGGCTTAAGGCTTCTATTTATCCAGCCTGTTTCTGTGGTGTCTGCAGCCACTCGAGGTAGCACCGGAGCAGGTGAGGAGTGTTGGTTCACCAGCAGAGAGCAGGTGAATCTCTTTCAGTGGGACAGTAATATCTTAGAGGCACTGCTTTTTGCCTTGAGGTCATGCACTAAGCCCTGACCTTCACCTTTGACTTAGGAAAACTTCATCTCCTGTCTCCGCCACAGGCATATCCACACAATCCAAATAATTTTCTGTCTGAAACCAGTGCAGAAAGGTGCAACTCAGACCCCTATTTCCTGTAACAGATTTTTGGAAGCTCATGGTGGTTATGATGTTGCTGTGATCCCCAGTTTTCCCCAAAATGAATCTCTGGCCATAGCCCATGCTTGGGCATTTGCTTTATGGCTGTCTCATTGTGAACCAGCGCAAGTTCCCAGGTGAGGTGGCGGATGGTGGGGACACCCCTCAGAACAGTGTGAGCAGCTTCCCTTTGCTCCAGCACCAACATAACAAAGGGCAGGAGGCCAAGGAGGTGTCCACAAACCTCTCATCACCCCTACTACTCAAAAGAGCTGCAGAGACGATCCTGAGTGCTCCACCTCATCCAGCCAGTTAATGAACGGTTCTCCCTGGGGCTGTCTCTGGGATTGCACCCATACATTTATAACTGGCTGCAGCTCCAGCCTCATCCAGTCTCCAGAGTCTTCTGTTCACTCCCTTCTGATGTTGTTCTGTTGCAGAAGGTCAGTGATGGGATTCCTCTCCCTCCTGCCCAGGTGCCTCCCAGCAGACTCCACGCGCAGCAGAAGCCAGGTAGTCCCTGGGCGAGGGACCTCAGTGGGTCTTACATGGAGCTGTGCCCACCCCTGCTTTGGGGATGCGTGAGGAGGCTGGTTGCCCGCTGCAGCCCTGGCTGCCTGTGTGCTAGGGGGTTGCAGAAGAGCTGAGGAGCCTCTGCTGACTACACGTGCTGTTCCTCTGCTCTTGTTTTGTTCTGCAGAATCTCCTGGGGGAGAAAATGCCCCTGAAAATGGTGCTGGTGCTGAAATGGACTCCAGGGTAAGGTGTTCCACAAGCTGGCACAGCCTCAGGCGTTCAAGGCTGGGCAAAGTGCCAGATTCCTGGCCAAATCCTCCAAAATTCTTGAGCTGCCCCAAAATCACTGGGAAAAATCCCTCTGCCCTTTTTCCCATTCCAAAGAGAGGCTCTCATGAGGTCATTCCTCCACCACTTCCAAGTTTGTGACCACACAACTTTGTGAGGCAGCCCAAGGTTGAGGCTTAGCAGGGCAGTGCCCTTCTGACACCCCCCAAGGAGCCAAGAGCCCCAGACACAACAACATCCTCAGGCACACACTTCACAGCCCATTTTGCAAGAGAGCTGTCTTTGAATTACCTGCTGTCCCCACTGTGTGGCATTTTCTGTTCCTGTCAGTCTGGGTGCCACAGTTCATTCATATCTGTGTTCTGGGATGCTGTTCTCTGATGCACCTCCATGTCATTACCAACCACTGTGTATGATAGTGCTGGAATTGCTCCTGTGTCCACTTGGGGACAGCACCTCTCTGGCAATGCCAGCTGCAGATGAGCTCTGCTCACTTTGTCTTTGCCACCCTCTTTGCAGGGCTTTTGGAGCAGTTTTTGTTCAGGGGTACTTCAGACAGGAGGCAGCACAAGATGGGAACTTGGCTGCACCTCTCCAGCTGGCTGGAGGAATTGGGGCCCTGCTCAGCTGGGCTTGAGGTTGGGAGGTACCTGTGTGATCAGACCCAGAAACAGGCTTCCTGGGTCATGTGGTGAACAGTTGATCCCAAGCTTAGAATCCACAGTTGCCCTTCTGATGCAACATTACCCTTACGTCGTAGCACTGAGATGAGGGGTTGTGTTCGGTGATGGAGAGGTGCTGTAGTGTGAATAACCCACCTGTGCACGGTGCCACCTCTCTCAGCAGATCCCAGCGACCTGCGGGGACGCTTCCCCCAGCACAGCCAGGCCCGTGGTGCTGCGGGCGTGCTGTGAGTGCACCGTGGTGCTGAGGGCCAGCACGGTGCCGGCGCTGCAGGACCTGCGGGCACTGCTGCAGGAGCGCCTGGGGCAGCAGGCACAGCGAGGGAGGCTCAGGTGGGTACAGCCCTGTGTGTGTGTGCCAGGCTGCAGCAGCCGCCATCCCCCTGAGGGGAGAAGGGCCCAGCGGAGGGTGGGGGC